GCCACAAATGGGGCCAACTAAAACGAGTGCAGAGCAAAAGTTGTTAACAGACGGCGTCAACAGTGGCACATGTCAATATGGCCCAAATTTGTTGAGCCCATGGAGAACAGGTTAGTTGTTGTTGTTGCTGCTGTTGCTGCTGCTGGTGGGCACGCGCAACAAACCGCGTCCGCCATTCACTTGATGACAAGCACACACACACGCACAGCTCAGTTTACTCACACACACACATATACACACACGATTACTGTTGCAGTCGCTATCGTTGGGGCTTAACGGTGCGTATGAGCATCGCACTCATTCATAAAGACTATTCGTAGTTGCTTAATACATAAGTACATGCACTGCAACAAATATCTAAGTACGTCTCTATATATTTCTTAAAACTAAATGTCAAAGAGTTATACACGAGGAAATATATTTAGATATTTATTTAGGAAATATATTTAGATTATTAATTATTTTATTTTATTTTATTTTTATTTTGTTTAATTTAATAGTTTATTGCGAGCGAGTTTTTATGTATATTGCTCGAAATATCTCAAATATTATGTGGTCAACGAGTACTCTGTTTCTTTCAGTGTACACAGACAGAGATGGAGACAGAAATTTTTATTTGTGTGCGTAATTAATGTAGTCGTCGCACTGTCATTACCAATATTAACTATACAATTAGCAACTGTACGCGGTTGCTACGGCTCTTGGGTATTTTATTTCAATGCATTCTATTTTATTTACATACTTCCTCAACATCAAAATTAACTTTATACAATTTTCTCGAATTATATTTGTTACGTTTTCTTTCATTTTTATGTGTAGTTTGTTTTCCATTTTCTGTAGCTGTTGCTGATTTTTTCTTTATTGGGTTAAGAAAGCGTTACGAAATGAATTTTCAACAGGCAGTCGCGGCCTTTTTGTCGACCTCGAAGTAACAGCGCTCAATCTATTGCTATCTCCTTCTCTCTCTTTAAAGCCATCTCTTGCACTGTGGGCTTTCTTTGGGGCCACAGAGATGATTTATGTCAAAAATGACTGTTAAATGTTTTTTTTTCTCATTTTTTTCTTTTTTAATTTTAAATTTCATTTTTCTTTGTAGTTGCTTATTGTAATTGTTTGCCATTTTGCCTGTTCATGTTTTTTTTTCTTTGCGGCATAAAGTCGTAATTCGTGGCAAGCAGAGTTTACTGTGTTAATGGACGCTTTGGGCTGATGGGCGCACTTAAGTGTTTTACCCTTGCGACACACTCTGGCCGCAGAGAAACCCAAATAATTGTAGAAAAGTTAAGATGTATGGGTATATATATTGTATTTATATGCCTATGTGACAATAGCCATATTTTGTAAATAATATTAAGCTTTAAAATAATCTATATATGTATTTTATGTAGAAATCCGCTGTCCAATTGTAATACCCTATAAAAAGCAACAGCAGCCTGATTTCACTTTTAAAAACTAGTTTTGTATTATTATTATTTTATTGCCTTAAAACAATTCAATGCCAACTTCAATCGAGTTAATGACGCACAATTGTCGGCGACACGCAAATCTCCCAAGAACAATTCAAATGTCATAAAAAGGAAAAGAAAAAAAAATGAAAAAATAAAATAGACAAGCCATAAGGCAATATAAAAACGTATAGTATGGATAATGAGGGAGCTGAATAAAATTGCAAATTGCGCTTGGTTCGCATTCCGTGTTTCATAATTATATGAACAACAGGTAGCAGGCGTGCAAAGACTTTGGGATATCAAATATATAGATGGGTCTGTATATCATCTATTCAGATACTATAGATATACATACGGAAATTGAGTTAAATACAAATTTATATGGGTAAATAAATAAGCCACGTGTAAACACACCTCAAACACTTTGCATATATACATATGTATATAGAATAAAAGCAATAACAAAACAACTATAGAATCGCAAACAGATGAAAAGTCTTATTTTTAGTACAGTGCACATTGAACCGGCCTATTGACTCTTACATAATGCACACTGACTGGTTATTCAAAACGTTGCCCCTCTGGCAAACTTTGTGGATGGCCATTGTTTCAAGCTTTGTGGAGATTCGTTGCGCTTTTAAAACATTTTCAGCTTATTTTCTTTTGTAAATTTATAAAAATAGCTGCAGCTGTCTTCCTCTTTTTGTCTAAAAAATATCTTAGCAAATAATTTAATTTCTTAAGAAATCGAACTGCGAATTAAACGATTAAATAAACAAAACGATGCCTGTGTATTTATTTGATCATTCGTACATACATACGTAGGTACATACGCACATATGTATGTACATATATACGCTTGAGTATATAGGAAAACATACTTCGGATACACTTGCCTTAATTTATTGCACTCAGAATCGCGAGACAAAAGTAAAACAAAAGAAAGTTGCCGCAAAGCCACACAAACAAACCACACACACACACACACACACACACATGCAGACAATAACGGCACCAGGAAGCAGCCACTGACGGATTACACATGTGCAGTCAATGAAAGAGAATGAGTGGAAGTGGGAGGCGCACATAGACTGCAAATAACTATGCTGCATTTTCTGTTTCATTCATACACTAGCAGTCTATTGGTCTACTCTTCTTCAATGCTGTTTTACTGCTGCTTAAACGTAACGTTATTTACGAGCTTCACCAGGCAAGAGTAGGCAAACAACAAAGAAGTGTGTTAATGAACACTGCAAAAAAAAGGCTGAAAAGAAATTGCAATAACAACAACACTAACGAGGCAACCGGAAAGTGAAGCAACTTGAAAAACTGCTTCATTTTATTTGTATAATATACACACATGTATATATGCATATGTATCTATGTATGCATTTAAGTGCAAAACAAAGCGAGAAAGAGCGCGCGCGAAAGGGTGGAACAAAAATTAATTCCACGAGACATTACTGTGTGCATTTCCAGTGGCTTATGTGCAGATATATATGTGAATAGATACATAAATAAATATATTTATATGTGTATATAAGTGTAATTAATTGATTGCATTGTAGTGCAGCAAGCGTAGAAAACTTCAATTAAAAGCACATGAAAATTGCACTATAAAAATTTGGTAAAACTAGAGTAAATGATAAATGGAAAATGGGAAGCAACCGCAGAGATTCCAGCCATGCTTCGCCGCGTTAAAATCAAATGCATGCATGTTTGGGGCATATTAGTTTGGAATGAGACCCAAATTGTGGGTAGCCCTCCCTATGAATTGACCGTATAATATTGTTAGATAATCGTAAATGTATCTTATCTAACTGTATTTCGTAAAGTATTTGCAGTTTATTGAGGGGATTTACTAAAGAGCTTTTATATACATATGTAAGTAAATAATTATACAAAATATATACATATGTACATATCTGTATGATATTCATTTGTTTGCATCAATTGTCAGTCATTTCAGATGCTGGCACAGTGAGCCCTCGCTAGATTTTCTTTTCAAAAACTCAACTTAATTGTTTCTAATTTCACTCAATACATTTTTCTACATACTTTAAACACAGGCTGTTCAGCGAGGCAATCAAAACGTCAAGCGGATTGATGGATTGACGTACGATTGCATCTGAGAGCAACAGGAGAGCGGAAGGGAGGTATCCAACACTTAAATAAACCAAGTCGTATCGTGGGGGGAGAGAGAGAGAGAAATTCGTTATTTTTAAAACAATCCAAAATGAACACGAAACATAACGGGACATTTTACATTTCCAGGCAGTGTTGCCGAATCAGCTATTTTGTAGCTAGATCTGGCTACTTCTTGAGTCCGATTGCTACACAAACTTTCAAGCAGCTATTAGCTACAAATCTGGCTATTTTCAAATATATATAATAGGTAAGCTTTCTAAAATGTTATTCAAAATTCATTTCTTATCAGTTTTTATACCCTGAACCCATTGAAAATGGGAAAGCAGGGTATAATGGTTTTGTGAAAAAGTATGTAACGGGCATAACGAATCATCGCAGCTGAAATTTGGCATGCATCATATTTTTTCGATAACTCATCCGATAACTTTTTTATCTAGAATTATCGAAAATTTGATTTTATTATTTATGCTATGAGTATAGCGTTCCACCCAACTACCTTAAAAAGGCAAATTATAAAAGCGACAATGGTGAAAATGACGAGTTGGTGGTCATAGATGAGATATTATAATAATTAAATTAATAAAGTTGACTTTTTATAAAAAAAAACGGCACTGTTTTCTTTTTTGCTACTTTTTCAGCTATTTTAGAAGAAAGTTGGCTACTTTTAGCTACTTTCAGCCTTCGATTTTGCTACTTTTGCTGAAAAAGTTTCGGCAACACTGNATATATATATATATGGCTTTATGAAAATCAAGAACAGAATCAAAATTATACGTAGTACGTAATTTACAACACGAACATATACTGACGGTCGCTACTGTTGTTGTATTTGTATTTGTTTTTGATTGCGTTTGTGTTTGTATGCTGTATAAAGCAAGTGTTGTGTTCCGCACATGTTGCCAATTTGTATAGTGTGGGTACTGTATGCAGTTTTTTTTCACATGTTAATGCAACCGTCTGTGCATTAGTGTTGGTAAATGCTGATTTTACAGCGGCTGTTTTCCAACTTCTGCCAACGTCAGCGAATTAATCATGCAAGCCCAGCTGGTCGTGTGTGTGTCTGTGTGAAGGAGAGGGCGAGTCTCTCAGGCAGCCAGGGCCAAAGCAACGAGTACATCGATGACGTCAGAAGCGCAGCTCACTGCTGCTGTCAGCGTCGCGCTGCGCTGACACCATTCCCGCTATTGCTCTCAATTAATTACAGGTCTACTTCATTGTGTTTCTCTACTTTGTTTCTTTTGTCATATACATATATAACATTCGAAATGATAAGGCTCACTATCAACATAAATAGAGAACTATGTCTCAGCGTGTCTATGTATTTGTGTGTGAGTGCGGGTAATGCAAATTAGGTTATCAGAGTTATTATTGCTTTTTTTTTATTCTTTCCGTTTGCATACGCACCTTTGGTTTGTTTAGCCACTTGCGAAATGTATCCATGGTCTAGCCGTCCCGTTCCGTTACCGTCAGCTTAACAGCTGTTAGAACGTTCGTCCAGCCACCGTCTCGCTCCTGCGCCTGTCTGCCCCACACTGTTGACAATTAATCAGTGTACGGAGAAGGCTGTCAAATGACTAGCTGGCGCCGCTTTGCTCCAATAGATGGCGTCGTTGTCGTCCTTGCCCAACGCGCGCGACTCAACGCACACAACAATAACATAAACGGAATGGCGCGTATGACAAAAACCCAAACAAAACAAAAGCAAAAATGCAAGAGAGCACAGAAACTATAGGTCTGTCGTCTGTCTGTGGGGCTGTGTGTGCGTACGTGCGTGTGCTTCTCAATATGTACTCGGGTTCTACTTGCTGCTTGGCCACACTGTGTTCAATACAAGTTCATATGCATGCGTCTCTCTGCTTGCTTCTGTACGTGTTGTGTGTATGTGTGTGTATTTGTGCGCTACTGTTGCATTCGCGTTGTTGAATTTTCACTTTTTGGGCATTTTTAAAATGCACCTTATCGAATTTTACACTTTATGTATAATTTGAAATTGCTTCGTCTCATGCTTTTGTTTCAATTTTTTGTTAAAACTTTTCAGGTGCTATATTTATTTTTATTTATTATTATTATTATTTTTTTTTTTTTTGTTAAATGCCTTTCGCACTGTGCTTCGTTTTGACTCTGCTTCGTGTATTCGTATACGGTTTGCCTTCAACACACACACACGCGTGACTATTGCGTGCTCTTTCACCACTCATATATCACTTAAACTGCATTTCTTTATTTGGAAATTGCGTCGATTTGTTAAAACTCTTAAAATATATTGAAACGGTTACAGAACACAGTTGGAAAATTGAATTTTCTATTGGCGAAAAAACCATTCAACTCGCGCAACACTTATCCGCCCCTACCGTCGACACAAGCGAATCGTGTACGTTGCGTTCAAAGATTTTTTTCGACTAAAATCTGTTAAGTTTCTTTTTGTTATTAAAATCATGTAAATGCGATGTTAACATGGTAACAGTAGAATCGATATATTATTCGATAATAACATCGATACTTATTTTAATTGCAAAATGGTATGCTGTTCATATTTAACTTTCCAGAAAACTGTTGTGTGATTATAAATATATTTTTAATTTTTCACTCACAGAGTGCCATTAAATTTATGTTTGCTTGATTCAACGCTAGAATAGAAAATAATGTATGGTATAATATTTAATGTAAAATAACAGAATGTTAACGTGCTCTTACCTGCGTTCGCGATCTCAATGATGCGCTTTGGGCTGCGCATTTTTATCACGTTTTTTTTTTGTTTCATCTGATAGGCTGCCATATTTGAATAATAGCTGGCAGCTTACATAAAAAAAAAAAATAAGCTTTTAATAGTTTAATTTAGCATAATAAAAAAAATATTATTATGTAAAATATAGTAGTTAACATACATTGCTCAAAACAATTATATATTATTTCAGGCACACAAAAGTATTACCGAAAATCATTTCAAATTTAAATTTTGCCAGAAATTGCATAGAGCTACCAGATCAGGTAATTAAGCACATTCGCTACATTAGATGGCAGTGTTCCAGTGGGTAACCTTAAGATATTAATAACACAAATAAATTTGAGAGGCTTCAATTACATTTATTTTAATGTGCAAAGAAAGTTATATATATTCTGATAACCTGTGTAAGTGTTAAATTTGAACCCAAACAAATATCAAAAATATAGTTGTGTAGTTGAAGAGCTTAGCACAGATACTATGGTTCAAGTGCCAGTCCGTTGCTTTGCTGAATTCGCCCGAAATTTGAATCTCTGTGAAAGTTGCCGTATCAAAAGAGAGTGAACGAATCAGCAATATATTGAGACGCGCTAATTCTAAAATGCTTTTATAACTAATGCGTTTGTTAATTTTATTTTAAGTGCAAATGTGTGTGCAAAATGCTATGCTAATGATGTTTTCTATTGTTTTTGGTATTCGATTTACTGCAAGGCAATGCGTCGGAAGTGATTGTTGAGCGGGCCCTCGTCCGAGTAGCCGGCAATCTCCTGCGGAATGATGCCCGACTCTTCGATCGAAGTGCATGGTCGGCACATGCACTCCAATGGAGCCTTGGTGAGAACCTTCTTGAACTTGCGCTCACCATGTTTGACCTTGGGACAGAAGAGCGAGACGGCTGCCTCGCGTTCGCCCGACTCCTGGCAGCACATACAGGAGCGCTCCATTTGCCAAATTTTGCTTCCCGAGACCTAAGCAGAGGTCGATTGTGTAAAGAAATATGGTTATACATATATAGCATGGATCGACTTACTTGTATATAGCTCGCACAGCGACCTACGCAGGCGAAGGAGGGTATTGGCTTGGGAACACAGCCCGGATATTGCAGGACATGAATGACGGGCGTCACCTGACAGTCGTCGCCCAGATGCCCGATATCTGCAAAGACAAAACCAGACCTCGCTTAGCTTAAATATGAGCCACACGACCGTTTGCGTACCATTATCAGTGGCAGTCGCCGTACCCTCAGACTGGGCCATGCACAGCTTCAGCAGGCTAACCAGAACGCAGTACAATAATATGAGCACGAATATCTTGTTGTTCTCGTGGCGTAGCACATGGCGCAGCATTTTTCTCTAGCTCAGTGTTAGCCTCAGTCAAGTCCAGGTCGCGACGCCTCCGGATGGAAAACGCTTTCAGCCGACTGATGCCTCTTATATATGTGGCCCGTAGCCGGCCGCAGCTGCAGCCCTAATGTCCCGGCCAGCCAGGACTCATGACTTATGGCCCAATAAAGCGACGCGGCCAGCAGCAACCTTTTTGCCTAGTAATTGCATACACGAAAATCACATTTGTCCCGCTGCGCCATTTACTCGAGCCCCAACGCTCGTGTGGCACGGCATAAACAAAAATCCAATCAAAGCGGACATCATCATCACCATCAGCATCAGTCAATTCCATCACTCTGGGCCAGCAAGTCCATCGGGTGCAGTTAGAGTAGAGTTCTGCTCATAGAGCTGCGCTAGGCCAAAAATCTTTAGGTCCGCGCAGTTATTTTATTAGCTAGAACAACATTGATCGATTCATATTCTTCGATGTCTTCGATATTCTTCGATCTCTGAAAGTGTAACGCCAGACTGAAACCAAAAGAGCCTTATAAACGACTCAAATATGAAAGACCTAGGGATAAATCTATCGATGCGTCTGCTTATTAGCTATAGTTGCAAGTAGAGGCGCACACATACATATGTGATTTTTCAGAGATAAGCGAAGTCGTTGTTGCCATTAGAAGATATGAAAATATAACTTTATAAATCTTTGCCATTATCACAAAAAATGAGGTTCAATTTATTATGGTCTTAGCTATCGGCAAATCATCGGCTAAGACTGATAAGGTGAATCTCAATTGATTTATTATTTGTGACACTGACAGTGCGCTCGATTGCAAATCCTATCGAAACAACAAAGTCAAAATGGTAGACAGCACTAGCGCCAGTGATGAAGCCATTGCCAATCCACCAGCTCCATTTCTCTGGGCTAGGAAATTCACCAACTTGCCCAAGCGCTGCTCCGCCCATTGCACGTTCGCCTCTACTTTGGCCAGTGCCTGGTTGAGTGTTTCCGCGGAACTGCCGAAGGATGTGTGGCTTTGCTTGTAGAAGTTAGARAAGAGCTGCTGCTGCTCCCGAGTGGTGAAGTACTCCGCCATGTCGCTCAGAGCCTGAGCGGTCTTTGCCCAGTTGAAGCCCAAGCTGTAATACAGAGTATAGAATATGGAATATACAAGCGAATTACTTTACTCGAGCAACTTACGCATCGTTCAGCTGTGAAATGTTCTCGGTTACCATTTGGAAGATGGGCGTCACCAAGTCCGGATTCTGCTCATAGAGCTGCGCTAGGCCAACCATCTTGAGGTCAACGCTGTTGCCCTGGCCCAAGATCTCGTTCTGGTAGTGCGTCCGATAGTCCCTCGTACAGCTGGCGGCGCGCCAGTAGATCTCTCGATCTATGTAGTTGGTTTCCTTCTTATATAGCTCCAAGACTCGATCGTACCCATCTGTTCTGGCGGCTGCACAGTAAAAGGTCTCCCGATAGTCTGGAGATGGCTTTTCTGAGCCATTGAACTTYTCCAGCACCTGCGCAGTGCAATTGGAGGTTTGGTACTTGCAGAGCCATGACACCTGCTGGTTGCGGTTGTAGACATCCAACACCTTGTCGCTGGCACTCCAACTCACGCCCAGCTTGGCGTGCACCGCCTCTGTGATGTCGCTGAGATACTTCTTGAAATTGGGCAACTGCTGTGGGGTCAGTCGCCTCGCCACCTTCTCCAATCCCACGTAGGCAGCATACCAGGGAATATAGTCGGTTTCTGTGCTCATGTACTCCATGAACTCGAAGACCTCGACGTAGTCAATTAGTTGTGCGAGGGCGATGTTGAACAAGTCATCAATGATCGCGGCACGATTCTCATTGGGTATTCCACTGTGGCCACTCTTTGTTAGAGCCTTTTGAATGTTACCGAGCAGTGGTTGCTCGTACATAACTCGATGATAGTTAGCCTGCTTCAGATTGACAATGACCCAGTCGATGGGCTCATCTGACCAGCGTTGATATATGTCAATTAGTTTTTCAAAGAAAAAAGCAGGCGTCGAATTTGTGAAATTAGGAGCCAAATTCGTAGTGTAGGTGATGGGCACCGTGTAACGCAATTCGGTGTCACTGCCATCTGTGTCATTCAGCAGGAAACGTTGCTGATAGAAATTGATCTGATGGCCACTATAGGAGAGGCTCACCGTGACCAACGGGTATCCAACCTGAACAGTGAAGTCATAAAAGAATTGATTCAAATTGATATATTTCTGGTCAGGCCAATTTTCCCCTATGTGTTTCAACAGATCGGAGGGATATGTGTTACCCAAGTAGCTGGAGGAGAAATCGGAAATGTTATTCAGAATTTCGGAGCCAATGGCATTTGTACTCACAACTCCTTTAGGTAGTTCGCAATGGCCCTGTTGAAGTTCTCCTCGCCCATTGCAAGGCTCCACATGCGGATCACGCTGGCGGCCTTGGCAAATGAAATTCTGCCGAACTTGTAGTCGATGTCTGCGGGCGTCTGTATGCTCACCTCTGCACTGGTCATCGGCTGGGTTATATTCAGAGAGTCGGTCGTAAGGACGTGCTGAAGCTTATGCACGACAAACTGCTGGTCCAACTGATATTCAGGATATAGCTGCGAAAGAAACCAACAAAAACTGTATAGAACAAATCAATTGGATAAACACACAGAAGGACCCTACAAGTAATCGCAGCTCATTCCAAAGAAGTCATCTTCTTACCTTATGACCCATAAAGAACTCGTAGTAACGCGCGAACCCTTCGTGCAGCCAGATGGAGCTCCACCATTTGCAAGTGACGCTATTGCCGAACCACATGTGTGCGTTCTCATGGACTATATTGCGAATTGTAAACTCCTTCTGTGCCCATCCATCGGTAACACCGGGCTGTTCCAGAAGGACCTTATCCCTAAATTATTAAGATTTAGGTTAACCCCTTGATTCACGGTACCTACTTGGACTACTCACTTGAAAATCACGAGACCCCAATTTTCCATGCTGTTATGGGGAAAACGGGGTGTGGTCGCGTATTGTAGTACATCGTTGCCCAGTTCTTGATAAGGCTGCTGGAACAACTCGCCATATGCTGGCAGTACACGCTCTGCGACAGAGTAGCTGAACTCCGTRTACTGGTTGTACGCCGGACGGGTGTGAATGGAGAGGGTACTGTTGCCTCGCATCTGGTACTCGGAGACCACAAACGCCAACAAATATGGGGACATTATGGGTGTCACCTCGAAGTGATCGGTAAAGCGATTATTTCTGCAATTGTTCAATAGGTAATGCAAATTTCCTTAAGCTCAACACCTTCGAGGCTTACCCCTCGCTCGTCGTTTTCTCTAGCTTCGTATTACTGACAGCATTGAGTCTATCGGGTCGGGTGATGCTTAGCTGAAATTTGGCCTTGAAGGTGGGCTCGTCGAAGCAGGGAAAGACCAAGCGCGCGTTGATGGGCTGCATCTGAGTTAAGAGCACCCACTTGGTCTGCATGGCCGCCTCGTCCATATAGCTTGCGGAGAACAGACCTACAGTATCAGTCTGAATGTTTCCGAAGTACTTGAAGAACAATGTGTAGGTAACATTGGCAGTTAAGGCCTGATTCAGGCCCACAGTCAGTTGCTGTGCTTCCTCTACAGAAGTTAGTCTGGCGTTGTTAACCTCTTCGACCTGCTTGCCAGTGGCGTCATAGAGCACACACTGTATGATGGTAAGTGTTACATCCTTGTGTAGGGTGATTTYCTTCACATCCGCAAGTGATGTCTGCAAGGTAATGCTGACCTCGCCATCGAATTTCGTAGCAGGACTATTAGGAACTATTGTGTTGTCCCGCAAACTGATGCTTAGGCTGTAAAGTGAGGGCCTCACGTTGGTGCTTAACCTGTAGTTGATCTGACACTCGCAACCCCCGATCCATGCTAATGTGATAAGTGCGGCCAAGGGCCAAACGCCGAACCAAGAACAGCTCATGTCGATGGCTCTTCGAATACTGAATTATACTTTGTCCAATTCTATTAAAACATTAACCCACGAGCCCTTCCAAATAATAGGTGATTTTTTTAAAGATTAGATTACAATATGACTAAGGATGAAAAATCGTTGAATTACTTGATTTTGGCACACTGTTTCCAACTGTGGATTGGTTATGGTCATATCTGCTGGTGGCTTTATGAATATTTATAGCCTTTATGATAATCGTGAACAACTAGGAAGTATCAAAGCTGATAAGAATATATGTTGGTATGTATATGTATATACATCATTTCGAAACTATTACGTAGTATTATTTGGAAATCCTAAATGCCATATAAACGATATGATAATGTTTTTATATCTTCTGAAATCGATTCGTTCAAGCTACGGACAGACGAATGGACAGACGGACAAGGCTAAATCGACTCAGCTCGTCGCACTGATCAAGAAGGTTTGGTGTCTGCCACGCCTTCTTCTGCTGATTTCCCATTTCCAATAGGTTAAGGCTATGAAAATTCTCATGATTTCGCTGATGAAGATTTAAGGTGTGACGAATTGCTTCTAACAAGTAATTTGTATATCTTTATCACTTGTGTGTGGTCGCAAGCCTTTCAAAGAGCATTCGACCACTTGTTCAATGATTAGATTGTGTGAATGTTATTACAATATTATTATCGAAAAGGGGCGTGTGTTGGAACTAGTCACTCGAGTGTAGGCATATGACTATATACTATAAAAAAAATGCTTTAGATTACTATTGGGAATCCTAATAATATTCTAGGAATCAACCTAACCTGTTACCTGATTCGCCACGCCTTAATATTCGGACCATATAATTTATTTATATATTATTTCGTTCAATATTAATTCCGTTCAAAAACTTCCAAGTTGTAAGCATATGTATTTATTTTCAATATATAAATTCATTTATTATCTAAATTTCTAGTCTCTAGCACGGAAATTTCAACAACAATTTACATTATTCAATATGACGTTCTTAAGTAAGCCAAAAATTTAAAAGTGACGTCACTACCAATAGCAGCGCTGACATCAGCTTTAGATCAGCAGCTCCGTTCCTTGTGGCCAAATAGCGGACAAGTTGATCCAAGTTCAGTTCAGCCCATTTAATGTTTTTTTCGACTTTGAGCAGGGCTTGGCGAAGAATCTCATCAGAGCTCCCGAACAGCATAGAGCTCTCGTTAATGAACTCGGCAAAAAGCTGTTGCTGGTACCTTGTGGTAAAGTATTCCGCCATATCGCTCAAGGCCGTCGCAGTCTTAGGCCAGCTCTGCAAGCTGCGAGTTAAACATTCATGAGGTTAATATTAACATTGAAACGAAGTTCATTGCTCTAGATCTTACGCATCTGCTAACTGCTGGATGTCCGTGGTAACGGCAATAAAAATGCTTGTTACCAGATCGGGATTCTGTCGATAGAGCTGGGCCAGGCCAACAGTTTTTAGGGACACACTGCTGGATTCGTTTAAGATTTCATCGTGGTAGTGCCTATAAAAGTCCCTCGTGCAGCTGGCAGCGCGCCAGAGGAGCTCTCGCTCGGTTGGGTCCGTCTCATTCCTATAGTACTCCATAATGCGAAGGTATCTACCTCCTCTGGAAGCAGCACAGTAATAGGTCTCTCGATAGTCTGGTGATGGGATCTCCGTGCTTTTATCAAAGCTCTCTTTCACTTCGTCTTCACATTTGAAGTGGTGATATTTGCAGAGCCAGGAGACCATCTTGTTGCGATTGTAGACATCCAACACGGTGTCGTTAGAGGCCCATCTCACGCCCAGCTTGGCATAGACGCCATCTGTGATGTCGATGAGATACTTCTTGAAGTTTGGCAATTGGTCTGGGGTCAAACGCATTGCCACTTTATCCATGCCCACGTAGGCTGCATACCAGGGAATATATTCGGTTTCTGTGCTCATGTACTCCATGAACTCGAAGACCTCAGCATAATTATTCAAACCGATCAAAGCTAAATTGAAGAGATCATCAATGATCGCTGCGCGATTCGCAACGTGTATATCGCTGTGGTTGCTTTCGATCAGAGCCTCATGAATCCGCCTCAGCAGCGATGGCGCATACTGCACGCGATAATAGTTGGACTGCTGCAGATTGAGCACAATCCATTCGATTGGGACAGAAAACGGAAGCAGCATAGTGTCGTCCCATTTATTGAAATACGCAACCGGTGCCAAGTTTTCAAAGTCACGCCATACATTTGTGGTGTAGGTTATGGGCACCGTGTAGGTTAAATATCTATCGCTGCCATCGTTGGGATCCAGCATGTATCGGCGTTGCCTTAGAGTGAACGAAGAGGAGTCAACGCGGTTCACTTCGACTATGGGGTAGCCCACCTGCTCGGTGAAGTCGTAAAAGAACTGATCCAAGTCAGCATTCAGAGGCTTGGGCCAATGCGCTTTGAGATGTGTAAACAAATCCTTTGGCACGGTGTTGCCCAGGTGACTAAGGGAATGACGACAGAATAGGTATATTGCAGTTATCCTAGGACAATGCTCACTCACTGCTGCCTGAGGTAGTTGCGAATGGCTAGATCAAAGTTCTCCGCGCCCATCGCATTCCGCCACATGCGCACTATGCTAGAGCCCTTGGCATATGTAATGCTGCTGAACTTGGAGGCGATTTCGGATGGGCTTCGTATGTCCGCCTCGCGGCTTGACAGCGGCTGCGTTCCGTTGTTGGCATCAAGTGTAAAGATCATCTGCAGCTGGCGCACCACGAACTGCTCGTCTAGTTGATAAGCTGGATAGAGCTGTAATGGAACTCTTTGATTTGTCAGGTATCTTAGCTAATATTTGAATAAATTTACTTGATGCGACATAAAGTACTCGTAATATCGCGCGAATGCCTCGTTTAGCCAGAAGTTATTCCACCAGGCAAAGGTCACACTGTCACCGAACCACATGTGCGACGTCTCGTGCACGATGATGCGTATGCTAGTCTCCTTATCGTTCCAGCCATCTGTGTAGTTTGGTCGGTGCACCAGAATATTTTTACTATGAAATGAAGGATATGCAATTGCTAGACGATCTAGTAATGTCTTATTTCTCTGTAACTCGCCATCTCTATTCTTAAGAAAATCTATTTACAATCTAACCTGTAGATGATGAGACCCCAGTTCTCCATGCCGTTGTGCGGAAAGCGCGGGGAAGCGGCATGCAGAAGAGCTTCGTTGCCCAGTTCCTTATAGGGATGTTGGAATAGCTTGTCGTAGGCATCTCTCGCACGCTGGGCCACATTATAGCTGAACTCAGAGTTGCTGTAGTCCTGTGGCCGACTTACCACAGCCAAGTCGCTGAGATTACCGCGTGCTTGGGACTCGGCGACCATAAAAGCAAGCAGATAAGTGGACATGAAAGGTGTTACTTGAAAATGATCCATTGACCGATTATTGCTGCAATTGAAATGGAACCGATAAGCTGGCAGCACGCTTGTTGGCTATCTACATCAGTTTACCGCAGTTCAGTTGTTGCGATAAGCTGCGTATTGCTGATGGCATGCAATCCACTCGGCCGCTCAATGTGCAACTGGAACCTGGCCTTGAAGGCCGGCTCATCGAAGCAGGGAAAGAGCAGACGCGCATAGATCCGTTGTAATTGCGTTAGCACCATCCATTTAGTCAGGCCCGTCTCCTGCTCCACGTAGCTGGCACTGAACAGACCCTTCATATCACTGTTCACCTTGCCCCTGTACTTGAAGTGCAGCGTAAAGTTCGCATTGGGGCTCAAAGGCTGCAGCAGCTGAACAGTCAGCTTCTGTGTTGCCAGGCTATAGGTCAGTGAACTGTTCGCAATACGATAGAGCAGCGAGCCAATGTCATTGTACAGCGCGACCTCGGCTATATCGATATCTTCCTTGTGCAATACAATCGCATTCACATTGGGCTGCGTCGCTTTCAATATTATGTCGACAGCGCCATCGAAGCTGTCGCTGGGTTGATTAGCATCGACTCTCAGACCGATGGTTAGATTATAAAATACAGGCAGCACTGTGCGCTCGAGCCGATAATTCGTACACTCGACACCGGCTATCAGGCCTATAGATAAAAGTCCGGCGAGCAGCCAGACGCTGCGTCCAAGACTGAACATGCCGACAGCAGTTTCAACACTGAGCGTCAAAGCTATTTAAAATTGAATTAGACACAGATGATGATGTGTTTGCGTGATGATAAGATAAGCTGGTCAGTGGCAATCGATGCGATGAATAGGCACCCATTCTGATTCCTATTCCCATAAAGCTTTTCCCTAAAAACCGTATAAAACAAGAGCAATCTATGTAAATTTATAAAATTTTATCTAAGTAAATTTATAAAAATTGACTGATAATTCAAAGTTGAAAAGTAGTTTCAACACATTCATTAAATACATAAGATAGATTTGTGGCCCAGACAGTTCAAAAGTGTTTGTACACCAGTTTATGAGTAGAATTTCGAGGTGTTTATAAAATAAATATGTTAAATATGGATTTAAAAAAAAAGAAAAAAACAAGTAAGAAGACTCTAGTCGAGACTGCTCGACTAGGAGATACCCTGAACCCTCTAAGCATATATTCTAATCATTCTGCACTTTTTTTATGCACACATACATACACATGCACTTATAAGCACGCGCTCTGCTAACTGCGCAGTAAGAAGCGACTGCGCTTGGGCTGCGCTGCAGTGTGGGCAATATTATGAGAATTTATTTGTTGAATAATTTCTTTTGTAGACATACGATCTTAATGAAACTTTTAGAGCGTAATGATATGGTGAATATGTGTGTGCATTCTAAAGCCCAAGTCTCTAGTACTTGAAATGCGTTTTTTACAAATTGGGGGAGAAGGGGGCGTGGTATCCAAAATCTGTAATGTACAAAATCTTTGTATCTATTAACTTTATATACAACACAAATTTGAAGACTCCAGGTCTAAAAATGCTCAAATTAGGCTAAAAAAACAAAATCAATTTTTCGATTATTCTCGATAAAAAAGTTATCGGACGATTTATCGAAAAAATAAAGCAAACTCGTACTGCGTATGGTACACACGAGTATGCATGCCAAATTTCAGCTCTCTAGCTCTTATAACTTCTGAGATCGACGCACTCATACGGACGGACGGACGGACGNTGTTAACTTTTTTAATTGTTTCAAAATATTTTTATATTTTATTAAATGAGTTTGGTATTTTAATTATATTTTTAAATACATAGAAATTGAAATTTCAGCCATACTAAATGGGCATTTTTATTTGTTGGGTTCAGGGTAGTATCTAGTCGAGCACTCTCGACTAGAGTTTTCTTACTTGTTATTAGTTGGGTTCAGGGTAGTATCTAGTCGAGCACTCTCGACTAGAGTTTTCTTACTTGTTTTCATTAGAATAGCTGATAAATCAAAGAATTCAGTTCTAGTATCTTAAACATCCGACTATATTAAGAGTTGGACATTCTAAATGTATTGTTGTGAATGTATATTGTGAATGACTATAATCTGTATTGGTAATGATATGTATATATATACCGGAAAATGCTGGTATCGTTTTAATTATAATTAAGTAGACTATGATTACGATATTATGAATAGGGTAACTTGAAGTTTATCTCATTTTAGCTTATCAACTCAATAAATATTTATTCCTCATCAATATACGAAGCCGCAAAATTGATCGAGTTGTTTTGGTCGGGACAGGCTGATGGATAGCTCTGACTGAGAGTCCGCCGCTGATATCGTTGTTGATAGACACGGTTTATGACCAATATTTGCGGATGGTATGAGCCAGCATACCAATAATGTGTATATACTCCAAATATAGGCAGAATTTTGTAAAATTGTGAAAAAAATTATGCCTGCAGAATTCTCCGAATGCGAACTAACTAATATTGACAGCTGAAACTTATTAACCCACGTCCACGTTCCATAAAGATTAGATTGACTTTTAGATTGTTTTATTATAAGCTAAAATCAACATAGTTGTATTCAAAGCCCTCTTATCTGGCTGGTTTATGGCCTGCTGCACAGGCGGTACAGGCGTGCAAATACTTCAATAGTTGGACGACAGCGCCAATGCCAATCTATGGCAAAGGGGCTAATCTTGGTCTTAACGCAGCAACGTGACCAGGGCCACCAGCAGCAGGGTGAGCAGGCTTAGGCCGCTCAGCGTGGCGCTGCCGTTGCGACTGGCCAGATAGGTGCGGAAGGTGCCCAGCCTGGTCTCGGCCCAGTCTAGATTCTCCTGGACGGTCGTCTCAGCGGCCTTCAGTGTGCTTGCCGAGCTGCCGAACTTGGCGCTGTTGTCGGCATTGAACTTCTTCAGGTCGTCCAATTGCGACTGCTCGGTGAAGCGAGCCGCAAGGTTCGAGACGACTGTGGCCACCGAGGAGTAGCCGCCCATGCTGTAAATGGAAACAAATTCAATATTATAGATATACGTGTCTCAATATCAGTTGGGCAGTTGGGCTACTCACGCTGTGGCCAGTGCATCGACATTGGCGGTGACCAGCTTGAAGACGGGGCTCACATTCTCGTTGTTCTCGGTGTAGAGGGTGGTCAGCACTGAGGACTTGTCCTGGCGACGAATCTCATTGCTCAAAACCAAATTGAAGACACGCTCAATGAGCGCCTGTTGCTTCACACAACCAAAGGAGTTCTGCAGCAGAGTCTCTTCGGTGGCAACCTTTTCGGTCTTGAATTTCGCATAGAGTGCATCGAACTCGGTGGCACCGCCCTCACGCAGCGATACACAGTAGACCACGGAGCGAATGTTCTTGGGCACAGTGTAGAGCGACTTGAAATAGCTCTTGGCCCTGTTGATGCAATCGACGTTGCCATAGCGACAGCTCCAGGACAGCACCTTGGTGCGCAGGTAGATCTCGAGCGCTGTGTTCAGGGTGCTCTCCTCGAAGCCCAGCTCGTTGTAGGCCTTGTTGGTCAGCTGGCGAATGTATGTGCTGAAGTGGTCGGTGTCCGTGCCCAGGCGTATGGCCAAGTAGTTGAAGCCATTGAATGCCGATGTCCAGGGTATATAATTGATTTCAGTTTCCAGATACTCGAGCACCTTCAGTGTGAGCTCGTACTTGATATGTCCGGCACGTGCCAAATTGAGCAAGTCATCAACCACCTGAGCGCGATTCAGCTCATGGATGCCACCCCAGTTGGTGCTGATGAGCGCCTTGTGGATTTCATTCCAGTTACTCTCCGTGTAGTTGACGCGATAGTAGCCCGTCTCCTGGATGTTGGCCAACACCCATGTGGCCGCGCTGGTCAAGGTAACTGTCGCTGGCGTATTGGAGGCTAGCACCAGCTTCGGCTTGGTGTCGTTAAAGTTCTTCTCCAAACTGGTGGTGTAGGTAATTGGCACGGTGTAGACCAAATTGGGGTCGGCGCCGTCAGCTTGCTTAAGGAGGAAGCGTTTCTGGGCAAACTTAATACTCTTGCCATCAGCGCTCAGCTCAGCATTGATCAGGGGATAGCCCACTTGAGTGGTGAAGCTCGTGAAGATCTTTTGCGCATCGGCCTTGAAGCGATCAGCGGGCCAGTTGGCCAGCCAGGCATTCAACAAGTATTCAGGGACCGAAGCCTCATATTGGCTGCAAATTCCATGTGACAAGTATTCATAGCCAGAACGCACTAAGTAAGAATACTTACTATTTGATAAGGTACTCCCGCAGAGATTTCTTGAAATTATCCGAGCCCATTGCATGCTCAATCATACGAATAAAGGATGCGCCCTTATTGTAGGAGATGCTATTGAACATCCGACTCAGGTGAGCCGGCGTGAATGTGTTCTCGTCGCTCAAGGGATTGGTGGCGTTGGTCGAATCCATGCCCATGACCGACTGAATCTGATCGACCACAAACTGCAGATCCATGCTCCACTCCGTTTCGACCATGGCGGTGCCAAAGTATTGGAAATACCTGGCAAAGCCCTCATTCAACCAGGTGTAGCTCCACCATTTGCAGGTGACCAGATCACCGAACCACATATGAGCCTGCTCGTGGGCGACAACAGCTGCAATTGATTGACGGGATGACAGAGTCGTGGCGGTCTCATCCACCAGCAGACTGCGCTCCCTGTAGGTCAGCAGGCCCCAGTTTTCCATGGCACCCGCTGAGAAATCGGGTATGGCAGCCATGTCCATTTTATCATTGCCTAGCGTGTAGTAGTTCAAGTCCAGATAGGTGCTCAGCTCGGCAAGAATCTTGCGACCCACGTTGAAGCTGTATTGGGTCTGTGGGTAAAACTCGGGACGCGCCAAAACTCCGAACGTCTCATCTTTGCGGATGGAGAACTCCGAGATAATGAAGGCCAGCAAATAGGTGGACATTTTGGGTGTGGTTTTGTATACATCCAAAAAGTATTCGCTTAAGTAAACATGGGATTTAGCATACATTTGCAAGAAGGTCTCTTGAAACCTACCCATTCTGCATAGGCGTTGAGGATATTAGCCTTGTATTACTAACAGTATTGTAGGAGCGAGGGCGTATCAGATTCACATCAAAGGTGGCCTTAAACTGCGGCTCATCGAAGCTGGGGAAGGCCCGACGTGCATGATTTGTCTGGAACTGTGTGGAGCCCAGCCATCTGCCAAAGACAAAACAGACAAAACTTTCAGTGATGAAATTGAAGCCAGCGAATCATTTGCACGCACTTCGTCTCATTGTTGTCGTTCACATAGGAGCTACGATAGAATCCATGCATATCATCGTCCATCGTTCCCTTGTAAACGAAATGCAAAATGTAGCGCTGATTGGCCACCAGATCCGATGTTGTGGTCAGGTTCTTAATGTCGGTCTCCAAATTGTGTGGTCCAACTGTCAGCTGAATGGGATTAGCTGCAACACTTCCTGTGGCCGGTTTCGCCCAGTATTCCGACTTCGTATAGTTCAAGTTTCTCGAGTGCAACGACACGATCCTTGTTGTCGACACCGGCTCGATTTCGATGAATACCTCACCGTCGAAGGTAAAGCGAGCCGTATCGCTTTCTAGCAAATATGGGCGCAACGTAATATTGTAGTTAATGGGATTGATGTGCGTTGACAATCTGTATTCCCAGTTCTCTGGTTCGGCAAAGGTAGACGGTGGCAGGACTTCCGGTTCCTGTCGTGGAGCCGCCAACACGACGCACAGACAGACCGCCCCGAGGACAGCCAAATGCCGACCGAACATTTCAACTGCAAATTATTAAGATTTCGAATCAATGCTCAAATAGATAATTACAACAATTATTTGAGCAGAATATATATTTAATAGGCACTCACTTTCTATTTGAAATATCACTAGACTAGAACAAAATTCGCGACTAAAGCACTGCGGAGAGCAACGCGAAAAACCAAACTGAAGTTAACTGGCAATTGTGTGTGCTATATATGATGACTTTAACAGCGTTTTATCTCTAACCTTAAAACATTTTATTTGAGTCAAGATAATTTACACATTGCTTATAGATTAAACGACGATTACGATGACGCCCCGATAAGAGAGTCAAGCGTGATTTATGCCCTATATATATGTGGGCACATGCCAATCAATGACTTAAGTATAGCCGGCTGTTATATATGGAAAGATTTAACGATGGACTTTAATTCAGATACCATAAAAGAAATGACTAATACAATGCGGGTAAAGCACACCAAATAGTTAGCAGTATGTGCCAAATAATCGATTGACTAAATCCTAAATCTGTATGCCCTTGCCACTTCAAGTAACGCCTATATCAGCTTTTAATTAGTCTTCGAGATAAAGCGAAGTGTTGGACACATAAATATCGAGTGAAAAAGGCAAGTGTTATGCAGCACATTCTAAACTGATCTAAATTTATGTATGATTCACATATTGTTTTTCATTTCAATCAAGTTTATAAACAAATGCTGCAGTATCAATAGATAGTAGTACTTTGGCAAGATAACTAGAAAATAAGAATCGAAAGGGAGATCGACGAATCAGTCGGTGCGCAGATCTCGTCAACTAAAAAGCTATTTCAAAAATAAAATGAATACGTATCGTTGACTAAAATTGTTAGCTGGCTCAAATTGATGATAAATATTCATAAGTTGATTTATAGCCATCGAAAAAATTAGACCACATATATCAGGAAGTCTATAATTATTTTTAGCTGTGTACACATATAGTTTAACTTAAACAGTTGAGTCACTCAGAGAGCTTATGACAGAGCATAGGTATTTCTGTTCTTCTATGTAACTTATATATGAGTTGTATTTCATAAAATAATAATGCTTTTGAGTGGTCGGGACTTCCCGACCAGAAGATACCAAGCGTTTATATATATAAATAGCTGATATTCTGATAAGCTTTCGGGTCCCGTCATATGTGAGTGATGCTTAAGCTACGTCTCAAAATGGAAATTCGATTTTTTTCGATTAAGTGGATATGAGATTACCCATCGAAAAATGAAAGAAGCTCGTACTACATATGGTATACGGAAAAATATATTTAAAGTTATTTATTGCTGCCTTCTCACCGACGGACGGATTTATTTTTAATGGGGACGGACGGGTGGAAGGACAATATGGAAAGAAATAAAGTATTACAAAGGTTTATCTAATCGCATTAATCATAAATTGGCATTATAAGAGGCATTACAATAAATTTTTTCTAATAAAATAATATGATAAAGTTTTTTTATTTTGCTTATTATAGGCAATAAAATGCTTGTGACACGGGGCTTATTGCTAATCTATCACATGAGGCTAGACCAGTTAGTAATAATAATCGGAAATTAGAAACTTCAAACGTTGCATTTGTTAATGAAGCCCGTTGATAAAGATTTTAGTCTCTTATCACATAGTATACCTAAAATTTTCCAATCATTTTAATGTACTGCGCGAATGAACTCGATTGAAATTTGATGGTTTCGGTGAACTTAAATGTTCTGGAATTGCTTGAAGTTGAATCAAATAACGTCATCATCGCCTGATAAGCACAAAATGGCGTACTTCATGGACGGATTAGTCAATTCCTGATTGGCTACATGTGCCGTTATGGTTATCGATAACGATTATTGTTGCCATGTGATCGAATTGCTCAAATTTGATAAGTCATTGAGCTATTTATGGTAGACATAAACTACAAAATCCTAAGTCACATGTAACGTTTACCAAAAACATAAAGAAATTGATTCCACCTTCATAAATACAAAAATATTTTTGGAATGACAACATGGAAATAGTTAATAGACTTTGTCATCGGGTGGAAATGATTGTTGCGACAGGAGTTTGATTTGAATATTTTTTATTGAGAAACGGTAGAATCGGAAATTTATTTACATTCATATTGGTCAAGCGAGGTAGTCATACCTTAAATTAACTTAGTGAGTCCTACAAAATACATCTTAGAAGAACATGGCGACGAAGAGGCACAGCGCCATGGCTAGCACAGATGCTGTCAGAGCGGGACTGCCGTTACGGAAGGATGTTACCCAGGAAATGATGGGTCCCCGGTTGGAAGCCAGCCAGGCCATGTTCGCCTCAACGTTAGTGTCCACGCTTGCCTGAAGTGTTGCGGGCACATAGTCGGAGTCTTTGACCGCATCGATCAGTTCCTGCAGCTTAGCCCTTTGGCCGTCGTTGACCACATACGAAGACATGCCCAGAATGTCAGAGTATAGTGGGTTAACGCCACCAAAGCCAGCATTCAGCTGGGCATACTTCTCCCAATTATTGAGCAGAAAATCGATGCAGACATTCAGACCCACCGATCCACGAGAGTAGGTGGGAGTGAGTAGCGTATAGCGCTCCTGAGTGCGCAGCTGGTTATTCGTATCGATGCTGCTGGAAACGTATTTCTCCAGCTGCTTCTCATTCTGTGCGCAGCCCAGGGCTGAGATGAGCAGACGACGCTCGGCCTGGTTGTTTGACTGCATCAGTTTGTCGTAGACAAAGTCAAAGGTTGTATCGTCGGCCTGCTTGAGACCATTGCAGTAGACGGGCGTCTGTAGATTGGGTTCGATCGGGGTGCCGTACTTGATCAAGGCTTGCAGCTTGGCGTTTGTCTCATCCAGGCAGCTCTTCAAGCCGGCCAGACAGGCCACATTAATGACCGCGTTGCGGGTGAACTTGACCAAGTGTTGCTCTCCGCTCTGATCGTTCACGCCAAACTTATCGAACTGCTCGCTGACCAATGCAGCAACATAGAATTGGAAATTCTCGTAGGCTTCATCACCGCTCAGATAGCGATTGAATACACTGATCACGGAATTAACCGTTGACCAGGGTGCATATTGAGTTTCCTGCGGCAGGTAGGTCAACAGCTGAAGGAGCACATTATGTGACAGGCGACCGCTTGTAGCGAAACGGTATGCGTCATCAATCAGCTGGGCGCGATTACGCGGATGAATCTTGTGCGGACGATCGGCCAAACCGTTACTGATCAGCTGCCAGTTCTGTGTATCATAGTTGATGCGATAGTAGCCCGTGGACTGTTTGTTCAGTATCAGCCAGTCATCGCTCTTCAGCGCGGTATCGTTGATGCTCAACTCCTGGTCCTTGTGCAGATAGTGAGTGGCCTCAGTGCGACGGAAATCCGGATTCGATTGCAATGCATAGTTCACTGGCACGTACCAGGTCTTGTCGCCCTTGGCGTCCTTGTTGTTGGTGTACTGCTCCTGCTTGACGGTGAAGGATCCATTGTTATAGTTGCGCTCCACAGTCAGCAGTGGCAGTCCCCCCTGGCGGGTCCAGCTGGTCATCATGTCGTCCACAAGAGCTGGCACCTCATAGTTCAATTCGCGAGCGGCTAGCGCAATGGCATTGAACAAATCCGTCTCATTGGCAGCGGAATAGGCCCTAGAATATCAGCAATTAGTTTCGAATTAAGATCAACTGGATGATATGCATACTTCTCCACCAGATAGTTGTGAAGACCCTGCTGAAAGACGGTGTTGGTAAGGGCGTGACGCCACATGTCCAGCACAGAGCCTGCCTTGGCATACGCAATTGAGTCATAGAGCAACGAAATGTCCGAAGGCTTCTCCACGTAGTAGGTCATAGGGCGCACTGAGGGATTGCCGTCACTTATCATGGCGCTCTGATATGAGCCAGTATGGAAAGTCTGGAATATATCCCATTCTGGATAGGCCTGTTTGGGGTAATCAATTCGAGTTAGGTCTCAGTCGGTCTTCTGTTAATAAATATTCGCTTACCAAATCGACAGCCAAGTTCTCGAAGAGCGTGGCAAAACCCTCTTTGAGCCAGAGATAGCTCCACCATTCGATGGCCACCAGATCACCGAACCACATGTGCGCATCCTCGTGCGCCTCAATGGTGGCAATGTTTGTCTGTGTATTAGTTGTAGAGTTCTCCACATTGTACAGCAGATATTCCTCGCGATATGTGGCCAGGCCCCAGTTCTCCATGGCGCCAGCAGCGAAATCGGGTATAGCTGCCTGATCCAGTTTAGGCAGAGCGAACGGTACACCGAAATAGCCAGAGAGACGTTTCTCGACCAACATGCCAGTGGTCAAGGCCCATTCCTGCTCATGCTCGGTGCCCTTGCGGGAGAAGACGCGCTGGGGCAGGCCGTTAAGCTCACCCTCTGAAGACACAAACTCCGATACAATGAAGGCCACCAAATAGCTAGGCATTTTGACAGTGGGCTGGAAGGCCGTAACACCCGGGCTAGAGAAGTCAACCGAAAATCAATTGAAAGGATCTTCTTAGGATATATGACTAAACCAACCTCGACTTGGCCACATCCACTGGCATATTGCTGATGGCATTGTAGCTGGGATCGTGATGTATGGTGATTGTAAAGATGGCACGCTTGGCTGGCTCATCATAGCAGGGGAAGGCGTGACGGGCATCGGTGCTCTCGAACTGAGTGGTGGCCAGGTATTTCGTAGCACCAGTCTCATCAGTGTAGCGGGATAGGTAGAAGCCGCCATTGTCCAAGCGCAGATTGCCCGTGTATTTAATGGTGACCAGCCAGATGGAGTCCTCTTCAAAGGTTAGACCCAAGGCGGACAGGTGCAAGAACTCGCGCTCTTTATCCTCAACGATGTCAAGTGCCACAGCAGTTGACTCAGCTGCATCACTCTTGCGGATTGTCGCTCCCAGAATCGCTAGTTGTCGGGCATGTACCACAATATCCGAGCTGGTCTCCAGAACTTTCACCGTGATGGTCACAGTTCCTTGAAATTCAGTCGTGCCATCGTGCACATTCGTGGTTAGATCGATATTGTACTCTAAAGGCTCCGTGTTATTGGGCAGCCGATAGGTCTGCTCATCGGCGCGTTGAGCCACACGCAGATTGGGATTCTCGATCAACTGCTGCTGCTGCCGCTCGAACGGCGGGAACTGGCGGACAACGGCCGCATGGGTGGTGGCCAGCACCAGCAGTAGGATCAGGATCGGAGTGAAAACGCGAGCCATGTTGTCTGCGGTGCGACGACAGCTGGACAACAACTGAGCAGCGCTCGCTGATTTTTCACTTATAAACCAAATTGTTACGGCAATCGAGGCAGATTTTCAGTTCGCACTTAACTGGTGTAGCGCATCTTATCGGCCGACAAGGCATAAAGATTATTTTAATCACTGGCGGCCGCCCCTAAAACGCCATCAAAACGTTCAATTCAATTTGCTGGCCAATAAAAAAACACCGTAAATCATAGTAACGATCTCAGGCCAGAACGCGTGCGCCTTGGCTTTAAGCCATAATATCGCTCAATACGGTTGTCAAGTGCCCGAGTGGGCAGTGGACTGGCTGTTAGCTAATTAGATAACATATCGACTGGACGCCAGTTGAAAATGGAGATTCAGGCGGCCTTTGTTGATAGCAGAACTCTCATTGTGATTTTACCATGTCATCTACTGTGTCTCTTATCAAAAACTTGTTAACATACAAATGCTAAACAGAGACAAAAATTAAAAGGCATTTTTTGCTCTGGGAGCGGAACAACTTAATTAATGGCCTTATGATAACTGATATTTACGATTTTCAAATGAATTTTAAAGTTCCGAAAAGAAACGTAAAGTCACGAGGTTCTCAAAGGTTAACTCTGAAGAAAAAAAAAAAACAAAAAACAAAAAATTCTCTGGGAAAAAATACTCGACAATAATTTACCCTATCGATAGGTTTAATCTCGACTACAAATGGGCCATATAGATTGGCATTGAAATTCCATTGAAAGCTTAATGGAAAAACTTTTGTAAAATGTGGTCGATAATGATATTAATGATAATGTATAACAATAATAATCTTTGCGTAGCTAGAATCTTTCAAAAAAAAACTTAACCAATTCAAATTAATCTCAAGAGGTTGTTCAAATAAAAAGCGAAAATATATTAAATGAGAATTTTGTTTGTTTATAGAGTATATATCCTTCTAGACATTACATGCATTTATAGAACTACAATCGAAACAATTTTACAGAGTTAAATTATGACTCTGATCTCACGAAGCCGTCAATCGAAAAGCGCAAGGCTTATGAGGTTCATAAATATTTTAAAGTATCGCAATTATGGCCGAAACATGATATGTACATTTGGTTATGACAATTGTATATTGGACTTAGCCAGAACTATCACGGCTTTATGAGTACTGTGTAAATGCGATAAGATTGATCAAACTCAAGTGCTATAAACTGAAATTTCCGATAATCAGCTCTAATGAATCTAAACTGTTATTAGTACTGCAGACTTCTGAAAAAGACGTAGAAAATTTCACCACTGGTCAAAATACGTACACCAATTTCGTTATGGCTTATGGAAGGGGAATCACGTCGATTTATTTTTCTAGTTTAATTCTTAGAGCAATCGTATTTCAATTAAATCCATGACAAAGCAAAGATACCAACGCTGCGAGCACCACAAATAGCGACGCAGAGAGGGAGCTGCTGCCATTGCGGCGATAGACAGCCAGCCAATCCATTATCGGCTGACGATGCACATCCAACCAATCAAAGTTGCTCTTCATGGCGTTCTGCACACTGGTTTCGGTATTATCTTTGAGATACCCTGCGCCATTCGCTTTGATTTTGGCCACCAGCGCATTGAGCTGTTAGGGAAATTAATTTTTTTTTTTTCAGAATAGGAAATTGGGAATTGGAAGAAGCAAAAAGCAGAGTTTGAACTTACTCGATTCTTCTGAGACTCGCTGACCACTGATCCTGCTATACGGCGCAGTACGTCGTCCAACGGTTTCTCATTGGGATTCAGATCGCCATATGCCTTCCAATTGGCATCCAAGAAGTCCAAGCTAGCAGTTAGACCGATTTCGCCTCGTGAGTGGGCGGTATCTAGTAGACTGGTGCGCTCAAAGGTCCTCAGAGAGTTGCTCATGTCGAGGGAGCTCTCGAAGAATTTCTTCAGCTGGCTGGCATTCTGCAAGCAGCCCAGCGCAGAGATATAGAAGGAGCGATCGCTGTCATCAGTGGAAGCGAACAGAGTTTTTAATACCAAATCGAAGGTTGTGTCTTCGGCCTGACGCAGTCCGGCGCAATAGGCCTGGTTTCTCAATGTTGGCTCGATAACCACACCATCCTGCAGATATTGCTGCAATTTCGTATGCGACTGCTTATAGCACTCGGTGCTGCCCACCTGGCAGGCCAGGCTCACCAGGATCACGCGCAGATAGTTGTTCAAATAGTGCTCGCCGGGTATTTCATTGACGCCCAACTTGACGAAGATATCCTCGACCAGTTCGATCACAAACTCACGGAAGTGCGCGTAATTGGCATCGCCACGCAGATAAGTATCGTATATATTCAATATACTATTGGCTGTAGACCAGGGCGCATATTGATTCTCATTGCGCAGGTATGACATCAGGTCCAACAATATACTATGGCTGATGCGACCCGTGTCCACGAAGCGGTACGCATCGTGCATGAGCTGTGCGCGATTGCGTGTGTGGAAATCGTAGGGGCGATCCCTCAGACCCTGTGCAATCAGCCGATAGTTTCGCTCATCATACAATATGCGATAGAAGCCAGTGGACTGTTTGTTGAGTAGCAACCAATCGGAGCTCGCAATTTTAACGTCGCTTATTGTGTGCTCCTTGACTTTCGGCAGATAATGCGAGGCCTTGGTTTGGCGATAGTCGGGACTCGATGCAGTTGCATAATTGATGGGCACATACCAGGTATCCGTGTTAACGGTTGTCTTGTTGTTCAAAAAGCGCTGTTGCGTCACGCTAAAGGTGCCAGCATCATAATTACGCTGCACGGTCAGCAAAGGGAAGCCCACCTGCGTGGACCAGCTGGAAAAAATGTCAGCAACGCTGAAGGGCAGCTTGAGGGACAGCTCGTCGGCCGCGTTCTGCAGTGAGGCAAACAAATCCCATTCGTCCGTCGAGTTGAACTGACTGAAAAAACAAAAGTGTTATACATATTGGTATTTTAGATTAGATATCATTAAAAAATACTTACTGTTTTTTTAGATACAGTTCCAATCCTCGCCGGAACACGGCATCCGTAAATGCATTCTTCAACATATACAGCACACTGGCTGGCTTGGCATAGGAGATGGTGCCATATCGGTTTGAGATCTCTGAGGGCGTTTGCACGTAATGCGACATGGGCGTGCTCAAGGAGGCATCGTTAATCAAAGCTGAGTAGTAGTCGCTCACATGGAATATTTGATAGGTGTCCCACTCGGGGAACGCAATATCATTCGATTCATACGAGTAGAGGGTGGCGAAACCCTCCTTAAGCCACAGATAGGTCCACCATTTGATGGATACCAAATCACCGAACCACATATGCGTATACTCGTGTCCAATTATATTGGCAATGTTCGTTTTCTGATTGATAGTCGAGCTTTCCTTGGTCCACCACATGTACTGCTCCCGATAGGTGGCCAGGCCCCAGTTCTCCATGGCTCCGGCTGAAAAATCGGGTATGCCCGCCTGATCCAGTTTGGGCAAAGCGAACGGAACACCAAAATACTTAGCCAAACTGGACTCGACAACAAGGCCAGACCAGAGGGCCCACTCCTGTTCGCTCTGCCTGCCCTTGCGTGAAAAAACGCGTTGAGGCAATCCATTTAGCTCGCCGCCTGTGGACTCAAAGTCTGATACAATAAATGCTATCAAATAGGTGGACATCCGTGGCGTTGTTTGAAATGCGGTGATGCCGGAGCTATCATAAAATCGATATTGATTAAGTAGGAGAACGATAATGTTATCTACTTGGCACTCACCTCGACTTGGCCACATCCACTGGCATATTGCAGATGGCTGTGTAACTGGGATCGTGATGTATGGTGATCGTAAAGTTGGCACGCTTGGCCGGCTCATCATAGCAGGGGAAGGCGTGTCGGGCATTTGTGCTCTCAAACTGAGTGGTGGCCAGATAGCTGAAGCAAAAGTCAATAATAAGCAAAGAAAATCAATTACAAGCGACAAGAACCTACTGTACAGCACCATTATCATCAGTGTAGCTGGATATGTAGAAGCCGCCCATATCTAAGCGCAGTTGGCTAGTGTAGTTGATGGTTACCGTCCAGTTGGAGCCCGCCTTGAGGGTGTCTGTGTGCGTAAGGATCAGAAACTCGCGTGTCGTTTCGGTCGATCCTACCACTGCAATTGGTTGACTCGACAAAGAGTCCTTGCTTTGTATGGTAGCGTTGAAACTACTGATTTGCCGATAATGAAGTGTGATCATTTTAGTATCCTCAACAACTTGAATATCAATCTTCACGACGCCACTGAAGTTCCTTGTGCCCTTGTGCACTTCCGTCCACAGCTCCACATTGTAGGATATGGGCACCGTATTGTTTGGCAAACGATAATTATCCACGCTGTTATTATCCGCGCGCGGTTCAATGTATCGAACTAGGCTTTGATCTCCTTTAGTCTCCAGCTGCTTGAACTCATCAACCGGCGGCGAGATGAGTCGAGCCTGTTGACTCCCCGCAATCAACAGCAGCAGCAACGGCAACGAATTCACTATCCAGCGCGCCATGTTAAGCGCCCTAGGGTCACGTATGCGTATATGAAGCAGAGACTGGTATGGCCTGGAGTACTTATAGTAATCGTCATATCTAATCTAATAATAAATTAATATGAAACACGAAATTAGCTTATTGCCCCAAATAGTTATGCCATTCGCACGGTCGATCGTAAACTTAATCGAATGTCCATCATTCAAGCAGCTTATCTCTAGACATGGTCTATAAATGTTGCCCATTATTAAGTGCTCAACAAACATTAAAAAAAACTTTTAAATACCATTGGCACTTGTTAATTTGAAAATTGGCCATTCACTTAGTAAATCAAAATAAAATAAACTTGAATGAATTTCAATTTTCAGTTACTTAATCATGTCTTTTATCACGGAGAGTGCCATGCTTGTATCATTGACCTAACTCATTATTGTTTTACTAATAAGTCTAAATATAAACCATTGACCGCCAAATTAATATGATTGTTTATTTGCAAAATCAATTGATCGATTATTGTCGATCAAAATATATTGGATGCGTTATCGAAAAAATATGATAAACTTGTACTGTGTATGGTATACACGAGTATATAGCAAAATTTCAGCATTCATAATTTCTGATCTCGGCGTTCATACGGACGAACAGACGGAATGGGCTATATCAACTCAGCTCGTCACCCTGATCAAGAATATATATACTTTACGGAGTCTGCGATGATTCCTTCTGCCTGTTACATACCTTGCACAAAACCAATATATCCTGATTTCCCACTTTCAATGGGTTCAGGGTATGATTAGGTAAAGGTGCATATTAAAGTCAAAGCGAAAAGCTTGGACCCTGGAGCAAAGAGAGAGGGAGACCGAAGATGAGCAAAATACAAACAGAAAATAGCAGGAGAGCAGAAAAAAGGGAGTGGCAGGGGCAAAAGAGAGGGAGACAGGCTTATAAAAATAAACGAAAGAAACAGTCTGACTAGATGAATTGAAAAAATCATCTCAAAAGAGAAGAGCGACGGGCTTATAAAAATAAATAAAAGAGAAAAACTGACTGCATGAGTAGAGAAGAACCATCTCAATAAAATCGTCATATGAGGCCAAATATATAAAGGTACATCATTACTGTTTTTCTTATTATTAATTTCCATTTTGATTATTGTTCTACTTAGGTCAATTTATTTTAGTTAACTTTCGACTTAGATATTATGCTTAATACAAGTGCTAGAACTTCAGCTACACGCCGATCGCGCTGCGCACAATGTTGCCCGCCGCGCTCAGTAGACTCGAGGGCCGAGCAGAGCCGTTGCCCACGCTGAAGGAGGCCGCATAGGTGCCATCGCTGCCAGCTGGAGACAGTTCCTTGAGCAGCCAGTTATGTATTTGGTGCTCGAATTTATCCAAAAACTCTTCGCTATTACGGATCTTTTTGCCCACTCGCCGCGAATCTACTGGTATTAAAGGTTCTTTGGAGCTCAGATGCTCAGCTCGCAGATACGCATCAATATTTCGATGGAGTGTGGCGAACTGAAAGGTAAAAGAGCTGTTAATATAGCTGAATGTAATATTTCAAGTATAAACTTACGTAGGGTCTTTGACGCTCTGGCACAAATTCGGCAATATCATTAAATAGCGTCACAAAGTGGGGCGATCGTGCGAGCTGCTTATAGTTTTGATTAATGAAATGCCAGATGCTCGAGCGTGATGCCACATTCGATTTGAAAACATATGCTAGATAAAACATGGATTCCCGCTCATTCAGCAAGTTATAGGTAAAGTTCTCGCCCACCAACACATTCAGATAGTGATGCATGCGGCGATGATTTCGCGTGCAGCGCAGCGAGTAAATCAAGTCGTCGTGCATGGCGGTGTTTGGGTCCGTGACAATCAATAAATCGATGAGCTTCTGAAACTCTTCGTCGCTCAACTGTCGCACGCCCATGCACAAAATGGTATCGTGTATGGCATAATAGTCCGGATAGTCGCTCTCAAAGTTGATGTTCTTGAAGACGTACTCGAGCACCAGACGATGCGTGTAGTCGAGACACTCCGGCATGCCCACACGGCAGGCCATGTGCAAGATATCCGTACGAACCAGTATATCCATGGTGACCACCTCTGTCTTATCCTTGTGAAAGAGGCGTAGAAATGTGGGCGTGACCAGGCGACGCACGTACTGCTTGAACAGAGAATAGGCGGTGGTGCCATACAGATTGTTGTCGAAAAACTCAATGGTGTTGGCTACTTGACTCCAGGGCGTTAGATCGTCCTCGAACTCCAAGTACTTGAACAGCTCAAAAAGCACATCCACCGATTCGAATTCGTTCCGTTCGATCAGTGGCGCCAGATCCTGGAAGAGCGCTGCCCGATTCATGGCATGTATAACCGAATGATTGCTCTGCAGCTGGCGGGCAATGGCGTGCAGATTGTCCGTATCATAGAGCACATGGTAGAAGCCCGTCTGCTGCTTGTTGACAATCAGCCAGTCGCGGCCGGCCAACTGCAGTCGCAGCTCCTCCACAGTCACCGTGTGCTCCATTACGGGTGGCATGAAGAATTCGACATGCGTCTGCTCAAAGCTGGGCGATTGGGTAGTGGCAAAGTTCAATGGGATCCACCAGTGCTCGGTCTTGGAGTGGATGGAACGTTGTCTCAGCGTGATCGTGTTGTTTTCATAGTTCCGGACGATCGAGACAATTGGCAGCCATTCGCTGTGCGTCCAGGATAGCATGATGTGACGGACTAGGTGCTTCCAGTGCTGGTCCTGGAACCGTGGATCCTCCAAGACAGCCCCTTGGATTGAATCGAACAGATCCATCTCGCTGACGACGCTGTATTGGCTGGAAGAGCGTTAAACTTATGGCACATCAATTGAAATTGATCAGTTCAGTGGCTCCCATCCGGGACTTACAATGTCTTCAGATAACGATTAATGCCCTGCACAAAGGTCTTCTGGTGGAAGGCGTGGTGAAACATCTTGATGACGCAGGCGGCACGCTTATAGCTTATAATATCAAACACTTTCATAATCTCGCTCTCGGTTTCCACATAATAAGTCATTGGACGCACATCGAAAAAGCTGCTGTAGCTATACGCGTGCTCGGCTTCGTCTCTGTTGAAAATTTCCATCACATTGTCCTCGGGATGAAGCTGTCAAAGAGATGTCTATGGCTTTACACTTCACATATTTAGTAATATTTTTGGCTGCTTACCAAGTCCGTGATGACATAGGAAAAATAGGTGGCCAGCCCCTCGTTCATCCAGACGTAGGACCACCATTCCGGCGATACCAGATTGCCGAACCACTGATGCGATATCTCATGATTCTGCATTACTTTGTGTTTCAATGTCTTATGCTTGTCCGCGTCGTCTTGCGACAAGAGGCTGTCGTCCCTGAACGTGATGAGACCCCAATTCTCCATGGCGGCACCTTGATTCTTCTTCAGTGCCACGTAATCCAACTTGGGCAGCATGTAGCTAACGCCAAAGTAATCCTCAAGAGCTGCCACGGTGAGCACAACATTCTTCAAAGCGGAGCGACCCTTGTCCTTGCTGGTGGGCGACGAATAGATCGACTGTGTAACACCTCGATATGTCTCCGAGATGTGATCAAAATTGGATATGACAAATGCCACCAAATACGTTGACATGGGCGGTGTAGTCTGGAAAGTGGTTGTAGTCAGCTCGCTGCACTCAATAAAACCGCATTATAACTACGTTACAGAATTGGAACTCGATTAAAGCAGGACTCACCCATGATTAACCAGCTCCTTCACGGGCATATTCGAAATGGCCGTCAGGCTGTTGCTGTGCGTCAGCCGGATGCTATAGTTGGATTTGAAGGCTGGCTCATCATAGCACGGCATAATTAGCCGTGCAAATGTCGGCTCCGATTGAGTGGCCGCCACATAGCTGTAAATAAATAGTTGAGCTAGAGTTTTCTTTTCTATCTTGACAAAATAGTTTTAGGTAATTCCAAGCTCTTTGAAGCCTTAAGCTTTTCAAATATTTTCCTCAATTTGTAACAAATCAAATCAAAACAAACAACGCCTTTTACTCATGACGATTCATTAAGAGAGCAAAAAAAAATAAAATAAATAAATAATACGCCAGTATATATGTATGTACATATATGTATATATTAATATTATATATACACTTTATTTTGTGAACTCTTTATCGGCGGCACTGGCGTACAGCTGTCATCGTCGATAAGGCGCAGCCGCTGTTTGTTATGGTTACAGTCATGCCCCTTTATGATGAAACCGTCAAGCCATTCGGTTAGTCTGTTTGTTTACATGCAACATGAATGACGGGCATAACGAATATGAGTACTCTACCATCGATAAGGCCACGCTTGACGCAGTATCAAGAAGTTAGTATGCTTTAGATAAGAGCGTCTGTCCAGACAGCTACCTTGTAAACAGATCTTAAGTGACTAACTGAAGAGATTTGGCAATTCATAAAAATTTATTGCTCACTTTATATTAAAGCCAAAATCTAAAATTCATATCTCTATGAATGTGAAGTCTCCTTACAATATTTTTGTTTATTATTATTATTATTATTTTTTTTTTTTTTTTGCA